TTAAATAATTTAATTAAATAATTAACATAAATTATTACTTAAATTTTTATTACATAAATGCAATTCATTTACAAAATAATTATAGTTGAAATTAATTATTATTAATTTATTATTTATTATTAATAAATTAATATTTGAGGAAAATTAATTTTGTCTAAATTAAAAAATATTAAAATAACCTTATTTACCATATAATTATACTTCATAGAAATTATTTATTATATTCATAATTAATTATGTAATATCCAAGATAAATTAATTGTATCTAAAATAAAAAATATTAAGTGAATTTTCTTAGAGACTATTATAATAAATAAAAATTATTTATTATATTCATAATAAATAATGTAATATCTAAGTCAAATTAATTGTGTTTAGATAAAAAATATTAACTAATTTTATTTAATAACATTGAATAATTAATATATTTTTTATAATTAAAATTCAATTTTGCCAAAAATCAAGCATATTAAAAATAGAAGACAAGATAAAATAAATCTTAAAATAATTAAATTAAATTAATTTTATAAATTTTATTTATTTATGTCTGAATTTAGACATTTTAAATTTTCATACAAAATGTCTAAATTTAAACAACATTTGACAATAGGCCCAAGGGCACCTGTTGCCAAAGCTTGTTGAATTCAAGACAAAATTATTTGAAATTCAAACAATATCTTTAGCGATAAGTGCCTTTGGGACTATCGCCAAAGACATCATCTTTGGTGACAGTCTTGGGGGCGCCTATCGCCAAAGCTTTTTTTTTTTTTTTTAAAATTTACGACGACAGTCCCATAAGGGTCTATCGCCATAAATATGTCTTTTTAAAATAAAATCTTATTTTTAAAATAAAATAATATTTTTTTAAATAATATTTTATTTTAGGACATATTTAATGTGTCTGAATTAAGACACATTAAATGTGTCTTAATTACACATTAAGTAATATTTTTTAAATAAAATATTATTTTTTAAAAATATTTTTTTAAGACAGATTTAATGTGTCTAAATTAAGACACATTAAATGTGTCTTAATTAAGTTAAATAAAATATTATTTTTAAAATAATATTTTATTTTAAGACGCATTTAATGTGTCTAAATTAAGACACATTAAAAGTGTCTTAATAAAATAATTTTTTTTTAAAAAATACATGTTTTACGGCAACAGTTGCCCTGTGAATTGTCGCCATAAATGTGTCTGAAAATAAGACACATTTATGGTGATAGGTAATAGGTTAACTATCGCCGTTAATGGTCCTAAATGCCTAAATCCCTCAGCTCATCATCTCTCAGCTCGTGCCATCACTCTCCCCCACAGCTCCAGCCATCATAGTCGCCCACAACTCATCTTCCCTATAGCTTATCCTCAAGCTCACTCATTCCTCCTTAACTTGTAGCTTCCACAACTTGAAGAGTGCCCACAGCTCCAGCTCACCTTATCCTATAGCTCAATGCTGCCTTTAGCTGGTGTTCCCCCAGCTCATTGCCGCCTTCAGCTTCTGCACCCCCTAGCTCACTACCGCCACCACCTTCAGTTCAGCTTCCCTTGCCCTCAGCACATCTCAACTTTCAAGTTTTTTTTTAAATTTTTTAATTAGCCTTTTATCCTTCACAAAATTAATTTTTTTGCTGATTTTTTTCTTGTTCTTTTTACTATTTTTTTTAGTTTATTTCTTGATAATTTTTAAACATCTATTTTTAAACATTGCTTTCATCATGTTTCCCTCCCTTGCCCCTGCACATCTCAATTTTCAGGTTTTTTTTTAATTTTTTAATTAGCTTTTTATGCTTCACAAAATTAATTTTTTTGCTAATTTTATTTTTGTTTTTTTGTTCTTTTTACTATTTTTTTGTTTGTTTCTTGATAATTTTTAAACACCTACTATCATAAATTAATTAGAATGTTGTTTGATGGCTGTATGTGATAGTTTGAATTGGTTGTTGATTAGAGTTAATAATTATTAACAATTCAGTTGAATTTAATCATTAAAATTTGTTTAATTTTGTTCAAATTTGTGTTTTGGGAAGGTTAAATAGAACAATGTATTTCAATTATCCTTTTAGCTCTACAAAAGTAAATTAGATTATTATTTGATGGTTGTATCTGATAGCTGAATTGGTTATTGATTAGTGTTGATAATTTTAAAAATTCAATTGAGAGGTTAAATTGAACAAATTGAGGGGTCTAGTGCCTGAAAAATCTTGCTTTGTGAGCTATTATGCTGTCAAAATTTTTATAAATTTTAAATTATAAATTATTTGTTAAAATTTGAAATAGGTAATGATAAACCGTACTTAGATAGATACTTTGTGAACAATTGATGAATATGAGAGGGGAGTAGATCAATTTCTAGAATTTGCAAAGAACAATGTTCCTAATAATAAATGATTGTTTTATTGTCCTTGTGTTAAGTGATTGAATGGGTTGCGACGAAGTCCTGTAGAGATTAAGGATCACCTAAATTGTTTTAGGTTCTATAAAGCATATAGACAGTGGGTATTGCATGGTGAATCTAGAAAATGTGGTATGCCACAAATTAAGAATGATGATATGGATTTTGATGATCAAATAGAGGATATGTTATGTGATATTGGCATTGAAGTTGTTGAGAAGTTGCACAAATATGATAGCTTGTGCAATGATTTAGAAACACCTTTATATCCATGGTGTACAAAATATACACGACTAACAGTGGTATTGAAGCTATTCAACTTAAAAGCTAGATATGGATGGAGTAATAAGAGTTTCACAGAGTTGCTTAGATTGTTGAAGGAGATGCTTCCAGAGGGGGAATACAATTCTGAGTAGTTACTACGAGGCAAAAAAAAATTATGTCCAATAGATTTGAGATATCAAAAGATACATGCTTGTCTCAATGACTGTATATTATACAGAAATGATTTTGAAGTATTGGATGAGTGTTCGGTCTGTAGGGCATCACGTTACAAAGTAAAAGAAATACACAGTGGTGATGACTCCATTACTAAGAGGCCTTCAGTGAAGGTGTTGTGGTATCTTCCTATAATACTAAGGTTTAAGCGTTTGTTCACTAATTCGAATAAGGCCAAAAACTTGAGATGGCAAGCTGATGAGAGAAAAAATGATGGCATGCTTTGGTATCCAGCTGATTCTCCATAATGAAAAGGAATTGATCAATTATTTTCTGAATTTGGCAATGAGCCTAAAAATTTTAGGCTTGGATTGTGTACAGACGGAATGAATCTTTACAGTAATCTTAGCAGTCAACATAGCTCATGGCCTGTTCTATTAGTGATTTATAATCTTCCTCCATGGTTGTGCATGAAATGCAAATATATCATGCTGTCTTTGATAATTTCAGGCCCTAAACAACTAGAAAATGATATAGATGTTTACTTAGCGCCATTGATTGATGATTTGAAGATGAGGTGGGAGGTAGGTGTGGATATTTTTGATTCATATTGGAATGAGTCTTTCAAGTTACGAGCTATAATTTTTTACACAATAAATGATTTTCTTGCATATGGAAACCTATCTGGATACAGTGTGAAGGGGCATAAAGCATGCCCTATTTGTGGAGAAAACACATGCCATCAACAACTAAAATATGGGAAGAAGACAGTATATCTTGGTCATCGAAGATTCTTGAGATGAGACCACCCTTATCGCAAGCAAAAAAAGTCATTCAATGGCTATCAAGAGTATAATGAAGCTCCAAAGCCATTAACTGCAAGCTTGGTATATGAACGAGTGAAAGACATCAATGTGGTATTTAGTAAGAATAAGAAAAAGAAAGCTCAAAAAAATCAATGGAAGAAGAGTCAATTTTCTTTGATCTCTCCTATTGGAACACCCTTAAAGTGAGATATAATATTGATGTGATGCATGTGAAAAAAATGTGTATGACAGTCTCATTGGAATATTGTTAGATATAAAGGAAAAGACCAAGAATGGAGTCAAAGCAAGATTAGATTTACTTGACATGGGAATAAGAATAAACTTGGGTCCAAGAGCAGAAGGAAAGAGGACTTATATGAGCCTAGCACCTCATACTTAGTCTAAAAGAGAGAAAAGAAGTTTTTGTCAGTGTTTACGTGGTATTAAGGTGCCACAAGGATATTCTTCAAATGTCAAGAATTTTGTATTAATGAAAGATTTAAAATTAGTTGGTTTGAAGTCTCATGATTACCTTGTACTAATGCAACAATTGTTATCGGTAACAATTCGAGACATATTAGAGGAAAAGGTAAGAAAATCAATTATTAGATTATGTGTCTTCTTCAATGTAATTTGTAGCAAAGTCATTGATCCTGAAAAATTAAATGAGTTACAAAATGATGTTATTACCCTGTGTCATCTTGAAATGTATTTTGTTCCCTCTTTTTTTAATAACACGGTACATTTAATTGTACATTTGGTGAGAGAGATAAAATTGTGTAGCCCTGTCTATTTGTGTTGGATGTATCTATTTGAACGGTACATGAAAATTCTTAAAGGCTATGTGAAGAATCCCTATTTTCTGTAAGCCTTTATTATTGAAAGATATGTTGCTGAAGAGGTTGTTGAGTTTTATAATAAATACCTATCGGAAGTAAAATCTATCGGTGTTCCTGAATCTCGCCAGGAGGGAATGAGAGTTGAAGGGCAAAGGACATGAGGGATGAAAGTAAAGTGCATGACTCATGAAGAACAACAAGCACATCTATACATCTTGAATAACACTAATGACATTGAAGATTATTTGGATGCACACAAAAAAGAAATTAAGGGATCAATATCCTAAAAAGGCTGATAAATGGTTGTTAGGTAAGCACAACAAACATTTTTCATTCTGGTTTAGGGCAAGGATAAAGGAAGATCGTGGTGTCACACCCCAAAATTTGAACATACTTGGCATAGAATACAGGGATGATATCCATATCCCAAAAGTCTTTACTCAAGAAAACTCTAATTTCTAAACCATGAAGACATTTTACAATAAATTAAACCATCTTCAATACAAACTATATGAACAAAAGATTTAATATTTTTGTAAAAATTTCAATAGGATCTCCCCTTAAAATAAAATCTCCCCAAAAACAAATCTACAAATATTTTACAAAACAATAGTAGTAGCAAGGAACTCTCTTCTGATCAGAAAATAACAAAGTATAAATAATAAGGATGAGGACCCTAACTATAGCTTATGTAGAGCACCTGACAAAAGAAGTTTACAAATCAAAATACATGGTTTTAAATTTACTTTAAAGAAACTTGATTACAGCTTTTCATCTCAATTGAGTATTACAGCCCCTCAAGGATTAGCGGAAGGCATAACATCAGCTAACGTATCTGAGACCAAAATAATAATTTCCAGTTAATAACATCCCAACAATAAATAATAGAACTTAAATAAAAAGGAAAAGTTTCAAATAATTGTGTGAGTCAAAGAGACAACAATTGTCATAAAAATGTAATAAACTTTAAAATAGAATAACTCTAAAATTTTAAAATTAGGTCTTAAATCATTAAACTATCATGGCAAATGTTAATAAGACTTGATTCCAAGAAATCACATAAATAAAATAAATATTTATAAAAAAATTACTGAATAACATCAATGGAATATAAAATCATCAAATAATTGGATTCATAATTATAGGGACTTATCAAAACAATTAACAAATGTGGATACATAGTTTACGAAGGTAAATAATCAAACGCGGCTTATGCCATGAAAACAAACGTGGACACATAGTCCACAAGGGTAAGTAACCAAATGCAGTCGAAGCCACAAAACAAACATGAACACACAGTCCACGAATGCAATGCTAACTAATGAAACAAATGTGAGTACGATGCTCACAAATAACCATCCCTCTATTCCATGTGCATTGGCCTTCGTTGCATAGGGCTAGTACGTCCTATAAACACCTTGCTAGCTAAGTGTACCATGGCACGCCAAGGGCTAACGAAACTATCGTTAGCAACCAGTGTTTTGTATAAAGTCCCTTTTTTAAAACCATTTTCAAACATGCAAGAAAATCATCACTTTCAAGATATAGTTCTCATTCTCAAAATCAAACTCGTATGAATACTTTTAAGCATTAAAACTTGCCAGCATAAAATTTCATATCCAATGCTCATACTTGCATTTATTGAATAATCAAAAAATTTTTCAAAGTTGAACTCGCATGAATCATTCTCTGTATCAATCCAATATTTGATAAAATAAAAATCTCGTAATCAAAGTCCAAACTTGATTTAATTGATCAAAAAACATTTCAAATTTGGTAAATCTAATTTCTCAAAATAAAGTAATGTTAATCAACAAATATCTAATAATCGCATTAATGCCATTAAAATGATTTCCAGAAAAATGTAATATTTTAGTGAAGGAATTTTTGATTGAAAAAATTAGTTGGGATGCTATCCACTTACCTGCAATATTCCCAAGTATAAAATTCACCCTTTAAAGCTTCAATCCTCCCTTATTACCTCAATCGAGACTTTCTTTCTCCAAATCCCCTATTCAATAATGCAAAATTTTAATGACCTTTGGCCTCATTTAATAAACTCCTTTCTCATAACAATACTATAATCTCTCAATTCTTACGGTACTATATATGTATGTGTATATATATATATATATATATCCACAACTTTGTCTATACTACACTTGTCTTTCCAATTTCCCTTAAGCACAAGTAGTCAAATTTTAACGAAGGTATGTATATTACATGAGTGCACACCCAATTAAAAAAAAACTTCTACAACCTACTTTGCCAAACACCTTAAGTGCCTCCCAAAATGCGTAAATACCATAATTTATAAATTACCAACAGTGTCATTTCTAGAATTCAGTTAACCACCCAATCACTATATAATCAAAATTCTCTACAAGGCTAAGTTGACTTAGATAGAGCCCAAACCATTTGCACCATCATACAAATAGATAGAACTCACAATTATGTAATTAAATAAAAACTCTTTCTAATAGACATTTTTGTCAAACGCCTACACACATTAATTCTTAAACTCAAGTTAAACATTTTCCTCCTTGATTCTAACTCCCAAACATTTATAAAGAAATATTTTGAATCAATTAACCTCTAAAATTTCATAAAAGATAATTGTCTTTTAATGATAATTTATTTAAATAGAAATATAATCATTATATATATATAGATATATCAAGAATCAAGCCATTATATAGCAAAACTCTCTTTTAAACATTCTATCAAACACTTTGTGAGCATTTGAATCTCAACTATAACCAAACTTCTTGCTATCCCCTTCCTCGTCTCGAAAATTCTTTAACTTAAACATGCAATCAATCAGCTTAAATCAATTCTCCCTTCTTACACACCCATGAACAGCAGCAACATTCTAAAAATTACAACCTTACCATTTAAAACACACACACCCGATAGAACAAATGAAAAGGAGGAAATCAAAAATCCTCACCTTTGGCCATGATAGCAAAAGGATGAGGAAGGAAAAAAATTTGCATGAGGAAGGAGAAAGAGAAGAGACCGACGTACCCCATGACCACCGAAATGGTGACGACGTAAACGAACCAATGCCAGTGATGTTGCTACTTGTGAAAGGTCTAACAGCAACAACCATGATGGATATGGATAGAGGAGGTATGAAGGATGACAGAAAGGCAAGGATTTTTGGTAGCCCACATCACTGGTGATGAGATAGAGGAGAGGAAGGCTAACATCACACACACACTAGCATAACTCACGCGACAGGCAAACAAGGGAGGAAAGGAGGAAAGGAAATCGAACAGCCTCATCATTTATGGTGGAGAAATTTTGATGGCATGGGGTGCTAGTTGTTGGCGGGGATCAGATAAGCAAGTCAGTGATGTGGAGGAGACTTGTGTAAAAGAAACTGGACACTCTTTCTTGATGTGCTCTATTTTCTTTAATTGACAGAGGGAGTTTTAAAATATTAAAGCTTACTTGGGGAAAATTATAAGAGACCTAGAAGATATTTTCTTTAATAACACAAAAGTCAAGGATATTTTGGTAGTTTCATTAATCACCAGAAAAATAAAATTACCTTTGGCATAGGTAAGATTCGAACCCCAATCCTTTAGGTAGAAACCAGTATAATTTCCACTAAGCCACTACTTCTACTCATCATAAAACTTGAACAATTTAATAAAATATCAATTAGATGGAAAATCATTTAATTTAAAATCTAAAATCATTACAAGTAGAAAGTCTATTGTTTCAAGTACAATAAGATGTTAGATATTGGGCCTAACTTTGATGTTACAACTTGAAGTGCATATGATATTAATGGATATTCATTCTATACAAAAATACAAGATGATAATAGTACCATGCAAAATAATGGATATTAATGGAAATGATGTTTGGGAATCTATACTGGTATTTCTAATTCTTATATGTCATATTTACTTTTTATTTTGACATTTATGTTGTTATTAAATTTTTTTGTTGATGTATGTTATTTTGCAGATTACTTATGATATCAAGGAAACTCCATTTTTAAAGGACAAGTGGCTAAAGTATGCTGGGGACTGATGGAGGGACTTTAAGTCCAAACTTACTAGAAAATATGTGTTTCCTAAGAGGTGCAACAAAAATGATGATAGTGATAATGATGTCAACATGGAAAAACCTTGGGAGAAATATCCATTTATTGATTATGACATATGGATGAAATTTGTTCATAGTAGACATGATCCTAAATTTTTGGCAAGTGAAACAAGAATATGTTAGTAAAAATTCATTTCTAACAAATGCTTTTCATTATTTGTTAATAGAAAAAAAGTCAAAAAGGACAAGAGCATCGAAAGAAAAATCTATACAACCATACTATGTCTTGGTAAAGATATGCATATATTTATGATATAATGACTCAAGAGAAGTGGGAAGCTAAAAGACAAATGGTGGGGGTTGATAATATTGAAGATGTTTTTCCTCCATCTCCTATTAATTGTGCTCAAGCATGGAAGAGAGGACAAATGAATAAAAAGGGAGAGTTTATTTCCCCAGAGGCTAGAGAAATGGCTGAGAAAATTGTACGTATCTTTACAGTCAATATCTTAACCATATGATTGAAATTTTTTAACTATATTGATTTTTATTTGCTTGCATATTCTAGGATGCTCTTACAGAAGTATCCTCTAAGAGGACCTTTGTGTCTACTAGTAGGAAGGATATATTGACCACGGCCTTAGGGGGTGAAGAGCACCTCGGCTGTGTTAGGAGGGTTCCAAAAGGTGTGGGTTTAAGACAATATTTTAGACCTCTACCATCTAATCTTGTGCCAATACAACAAGTGCAAATGATGATAGTAGAATGCAAGTCAAGCATGATGATGGAAATGTAATCAATGATTAGCAGTTTGCAGATGCAACCACAACAAGCATCGAAATATGATGGTGTTACAGAGCCAGTGTGTGATCCTAGCCTATCAGATCAAGGAATGCCATGCATACTTTATGTGAAGGATCATGGAAAATGAGTAGTTGCATATGAAAAAGTGTATAACGATGCAACTATAGTCCACCACCAGCAGATACAACATAACCCAGTAAAGGTGATGGTTGAAGAGGTTGTGGATGCTAATGCTCCTATTCTATTCTCTACTGAGGAGGTGCAAACAATAGAACAAGCCCAGTATAATTTCATTATTTGGTTGAAAAAGCTAGTCTAATAGGTTATTAAAGAGGTATAAAAATATTATAATTTTTTATTTTTAATTAATATCATAGGTATTTCTAATTTTCATTATATATTAATCATAAGAACTTCTACAATCAAAAGAATCTCTGGGCTTCAATCCTCAACTGGTGTAAGATGATTTGAAACGGTTGGCTTCGGTGGTGGTTGACATGGATGAATTTTTTGATAAAATAAACGTAATTGAAAAGATTGCTGGGAAGCATATTACATTTAGAGTCACCAGAAAAGACATTAATGATCTCATTATTTTTGAGTGATTAGACTTGGGAATAATTCAAATTTTTATCATGTAAGTATTCATTTTTATTTCTAAATTAATATTTAATATTTTTTATTGCTAACGTATTTTTTATTATCAAAGGTACCTCTATAAGATATGCACTGAACTCGGTGTTGGCAATAATTATGAGTTTTTATCTCCACTTTTAACTGCATGTGGCAAAGTGAACCAAAGAGCTTTTTATATTGGAAAGACGATGTGCCAGCAACAGAAGATGTGCTGGTTTTTACCAATTATTGAGAGGTATTAAATTTTAAATTCATCCCTTGGTTTATAAAGAAATTTCCTTAATGATGTGATATTAATATAAATTAATATATTATAGTCATCATTGAATGTTTCCTGTCATTTGCCCATATGAAAATACCATATACTGGTTTTGTTCACTACAAAAGAAAATAAGCGATGATATAAAGACTTTGATTGAATTGTAAGTTTTTGAATAATTTTATTTTGTGTTATTAATAACATATATTTAATAATTTTAAAGTTTTCTAAGTGTGTATATTTGGTAAATAGATCTTTAGCAACATATTGGAAATCAGTAGAAATGGTTGACAAGAAAAAAAATGAAATCAAGTGGGTGCCAATGCAAGTAAGTATTTTAAATTTATTCCCTAATTAGAATGAAGATTATAGTATTGATATAATAAATTTAATTATTTTTATTTTCTTCATAGTGTACTCAACAACCAAAAAGTATAGAATACGATTATTATGTAATGATTTATTAATAATGATTTATAATTATGATGGTTGTTGTATACTTGAGTTATTTTTCAAACATATATTGCTATTTAATTTGCAGCACTTCCAAAGTTTAGAGCCATATTCTAAGCAAGAGTTTAGACATATTCGCAATATGTGGTCTAGGTTTTTCTTAGAATTAACAAGATTAGAGTAAAAAATTTCTAGATATTTGTATTAAAATGTAGACTTTTAGTTCATATATTTGCACTAGATATATTTGTACTGGTGTCTGGAGTTGTTGTTTATGTATTAATGCAGGTTTTGTAATCAAAGATGTATATATTTATTTGTGAATCTACAAAAAAAATATAATATTTACGGCCATAGTTATTACTATAATTGTGATAAAAGATGATATATGGTGATAGTTATAGAAACAATTGTTGGCATATATGAATCTCTAAACGCATCTTTTGCCACAGGTGAGCTTGGACCTATGACAAAAGATACTATTTTTCGCCACAGGTGAGTTAAGACTTGTGGTGAAAAATGATATGTTTTATCACTATATTTTTTACCACAGGTGAGTTGGGAATTGTGGCGAAAGATATTATTTTTTGTCACAATTGAGCTGAAACCTGTAACGAAAAATGATATCTTTCACCACAGTTTTGCTTGACCTGTGGCGAAAAATACCTATTTGCTATTACATGATTTTCTACTACAAAACTTCTTCTGTCACAAAAAATGTGTTTTAACTGTGGTGAAAAATGCTTTTTGTATTAGTGAGCAGACAACAAGAAATGAAGGTGAAGGGAGAAGAAGATTGAACACACTCAACCACACCGACGGAGAAGGTAGTTGACGCCGGCGTTCACCATGGGAGAAGAATGAAAACCCATGACTCAAGCTTCCTGCACGGCAGACTATGGCGGATGCCCTACACACGCTAGAGGAACTGGAATGGAGGAGGAGCGACTGCTTGAACGAAGCTCCCCTCTGTATTCTCTAGAATCGAATCGAAGAGGATGAGGGGAAAGTGAAATATTTGTACGCCATCTGATATAATCTCATCCTCATTTTATTTATTTTATTTTTTATTTTTGTTTCAATGAGGGTATTGCAGTAATTTCTCTTAACTGAAGCAATAATTTCTCTAACTGAAGCAAAAGTAAAAAAAAAAAAAAACTCTTGTGTTCCATATAGATTCGAACTTTGATGCAGCAAGGAAAGGCCCAGAATAATTTCCACTAAACCACCCATCCTTCACTCTGTTATAAATACCCCAAAATTTATAAAATTACAACCGAAATATATCATTATTAATTTTTAATAATAATATTATTTTTAGGGTTATTACAAATTACATTGAAATACATTTTTTAACAGTTAATTTGATTTTATATTAATTTTGTGATGTTGATTTTATATTAATTTTATGATATTGATTTTAAATTAATTTCTACCTTCATTTTTTTAATAACAATATTAATTACATGAAACAAGAAATATTTTAATATAAAAGTGTTATTTTCTTTTCCAGTTTTTCTTTCGTTGTTTTTCCATTTTCTTTTCTCTAATTTTCTTTTCTCTCAGCCTTTCTTCCAATCCAAATCCTAGGGATAGAGAAAAATATTAAAAATTAGAAGGAAGGTCCAAAACCACAAGAATCCACGAAGTGCTTATACATAGAATATTATATAATTCAAAAGTTAAATTATTCTGTGTTTATCAGATTGACATCGAGAACAAATGCTGCCATGTTCCCAAACAAAGTTAACTACATAAAACATGCTGTCAATTCATACATGTAACAAACCAGAGTCCTGTTTAAATCCGCAGAAAACAGCATAATTATGTGCAGAAAAAAATAAGAGAGAGAGAGAGAGAGAGAGAGAGAGAGAGAGAGAGAGAGAACCAGTTTCATAAAAATGGACAAGCATAGATTTGATGCTCACCTTGCAGTTCAAGCCACATGTGTGGTTTTCTTGGCACTTTGTTTAAGAACATATGAAGAGACAGAAACAGAAGCCCTACTAAGGTGGAAAGACAGTCTCCCAGATCAGCCAATCTTAAAGTCATGGGTCTCTCCAGCACAGAACTCAAGTGCAGCTCAAACCCCATGTTCATGGCGGGGAATAACATGTGATAATTCTTCAGGAAGTGTGATTGAAATAAACTTGGCATACACTGGCCTTGAAGGTACCCTTCAAAACTTGAACTTCTCTGCATTTCCAAATCTTCTTCGTCTTGATCTTAAAACAAATAACCTCGTTGGTAGCATACCGGAAAGCATTGGGGTTCTCTCCAAACTGCAATACCTTGACCTTTCTACGAATTACCTCAATGGCACTTTACCCATTTCTCTTTCTAATTTGACTCAAGTTTACGAGCTTGATGTTTCACGAAACAATATTACTGGTA